AACCCCCCCCCCCTTTTCCAATCCCTTCGTCCCTATAAAGTCCTCACCCCTCCCCCCCCCACCCTACCTAAAACATGCTTGAAATAAATATGAATATTTAGCAATTATTGAATGAGGCTGAGTAGGATATGAAGAATTAAGCAGATCGAGGAGGGTGTTATCTTGATATCCTACGAAAGCCGCATTCATTATTTGCTTTATTATTCACTCAAAATAATTCCTAGTTTAAAAACATGGCTGAAACATGCTTACCTGCATCAATGTTAAATTCATCTTCGGTATTGTACGTTTAGGTTTGTCCAGCTCCACAAATATTCTCCAAATAGCAGATGTCACCCTCCGAGTTGTCTTCTTGCTGTTTTTGCCATGCTTTTAGCTATAATTTCACCTAGTTCCAGCTGTAGTTCTTACTCTTAAAACGAGTGAATTGTCTACCTTTTTTTTTTCACAACCAAAACAACTCAACCTTGTCCCCAGGTCTTCTCGGTAACAGTGCTTTAACCTGTACTTGGCTGCATTTTTGACGTCATTTCCTTGTTAAACACAAAATAAATTCTTCTAAGTTTGGTCATCAGTGACTGGTTATGGTGAATTATGGGTGAGCTTTTAGCCAATCAGAATTGGGGAAATACAGTATTTTGAATGAATAATAATTTTACTTAATGATCTCTAAGAATGACTGTGTTTTTATGCAATTGTTTATGTACGTATGTTAACACAATTTGCCATTATTTTAATCTTTCAGGGTTTTGGAAAGCCCAATGTTTATCATGCTACCATTGTAATCTTTCTAGAGTTTTTTGCTTGGGGGCTGCTTACATCACCTATGTTAACAGTAAGTCCAAATATTTTCGATTTTTAAACAAATTAAATCAATCATCAGTTGAAATCCTTAATCCTTATAATTGATTAGGGAAAATGTTTAACTGATTATCATGCAAAAAAATGTAAAAATTATCCGACAGTGGACTTCCACCTTTTGTAAAAGTCACCAAACTGAGGCAAACTCCTTGTTTTCATTTTTATCCAGGTTTTACACACCACATTCGAAGAACACACTTTTCTAATGAATGGTTTAATACAAGGAGTGAAGGTAAGATATTTCCTTAATTCCATTATATAACATCTATATATATCTGAAAGGTCTCCTTATTTTTCTTGCATGAAAAAGTTGTTCTTTTCTTCTTAAGACTAATAAGTTGTTGTCACTTTTTTTTTTCAGGGTCTTTTGTCCTTTCTTAGTGCACCTTTGATTGGTGCTCTCTCAGATGTGTGGGGGCGTAAATCCTTCCTTCTTGTAACTGTTTTCTTTACATGTATTCCCATTCCACTTCTTAGATTCAACCCATGGTAAGTTTATAATAATGATGTGATAACAGTAATGGTGACGATGATGTTAGTGATGATCAATGACTTAGATAAGATTTCATCATCAAGGACTATCAATAAAGATAGCACTAAGGCTATGGCCCACTTCATTTTTGTATTTCCTGGTGATATTAGTAATAGTAGTAGTAGTAATTCTTTATTTAGCTCATGGTAAAATTACAGTTTTAACTTAACATTGTACATAACTGAAAATTTGTACCAGGTTATAACTTTATAATAATATATGAGAAATAAAAAGTGTCTCTAATATATTGAATGACTGTATATTTTTTTTTCCTGCAAAAAAATAAACTGAAACTGAAATAAATAATATTATTGGGTTCTTTCTTACGTTAATTTTTTTGTCTTCTGTTCTCTACTTTCAGGTGGTTTTTTGCTATGATCTCAGTGTCTGGAATGTTTGCTGTCACATTTTCAATAGCTTTTGCTTATGTTGCTGATTGTACAGAAGAAAATGAGCGAAGTACAGCTTATGGACTGGTAAGAAATCATCAGAAATGACAAACAAATGCTCTTTGCTGATTATAGGTTCCTCCTCTGTACTCTGAACACCAGCCATTTCTTCATTTGAGTGCCTGTAGAGAATGGTGACATGGAGACTAACTTTGTTGATGTCAAAATATTCAGATTGAATTTCTTCCTGGAAACGGCAAGCATAACCCTCAGAATAGTAGTGAAGACAGACAGCATGATCAAGAGGAAGGTTTTCAAGGAGAGAATCTAGTTGCTCTCATTGCCACTTGGCAAGAAAGGAGTAGTAACAAAAATGTGTTAAGAGCTGAATGAAGTACTCATAAAGTTCTTTTCATGGTTTTGTGCATTTGTCAACAAGAGTTATTTTTCTAATCTCTTTGCCATCTGTAGTCAGCTTTTTAGTTGCAACATAGTCATATCTCTTCCATAATAATGAACGAAAAAATGGGGGTCACTGTACTCGTTTTTGTAGTAGAGCTGCAGAAAGGGTACACCAAATGCTTATTCTCTGATTTTTGAGAGAGGACTGGGGTGAGTTTCAAAACGGCATGTACGTGGAAGGGGAAAGAAGGCATTAAAAAATCAGCTTTTACAGAATTTACATCGAGATATCACAACAATTAGGACACAATGTGATAAAGATGGTGCTTGAATGAAAATCAAAGTGAGTGAGTACAAGTTTAACTTCCACCATCGAGGTTCTCTGTAAGGAGGTCGAACTCAGCAACACGCCTTCTGCTTACTTTATGTACATTCCCTACACATTGAGTCTCATATCGGCAGAAAACACCCGCAAGAAATAATTCCAATAGCGCTTCTCTTCAGTCAACTTCATTTTAATAATGTTACTTCGGATGCTCTTTTTCATGGCGGCCATCTTGTTATGCGCAGTATGAGATGCGCAGTGCAAAACCAGCAAATCACCTTAAAATTCCTTGGAAAATTTGACTTTGCATTTCAGTGTATATGGATGCTATTGTATAACTGCATACCAGTGCTGCTAACTCTCCTGGATAAGCCGGGAGACTCCAGATTTTGAGCCGTATCTCCTGGTCTCCAGATTAGAGAATGAAATCTCCTGGATATTCCCCGAAGTTTGTAGTTTAGCTGTAGACTTGACTTTCCGACAATAAACTTTTAAATATTTTGCACTGTTTGAGCTATCTTACTGTTAACATCAAACATTTCCTCATAAATTTCGGTATGATATATCATGCCACGAGTATTTTTTGCACAAATGACGTCATACACGGTGCGATATGACGTCATCTTTCATCCCTTCCCTATCAATTCTCATTATTTGAAGACATGGGGGGTTGAAAGCCCTGGCATACTGTTTTGACGTCACAAAGTCACCAGAATGGTTAATTAAAGAAGATGGAAGACCAGCCCGGTACAGTTAAAGTAGAGCAACATGATAAAGGCTTAATTCCTACTTCATTTATATGATAAGGATCATAGTCAGATAAAATTAATGACTTATTGACCACAATCTGCAATACTAACTGACCTGGGCGCAGGTATAGGTCCACTTATCTTTCTAGTCACCCACGAAAAAGACGAAGAAGACATTGCTGTCCAAATTCGTCGCAAAACTACGGCTTACAACTCGACTTCATTTCGAATGTTGTTGACTTCCGCGCTGCCTCGAGACGAGCGCCTCCTACGGACACTGGGAAATAATACGTGCCCGCGATGTAAACAGGTATCGTTGGCGGTGTTACGTTGTTATGTATGCTCTGCACGGTGGGGTGATCTTCGCGCAGAGAGCAAGAGGAATATGTGCATAAATTGTGTCGATTTTTTTTTTGATAATCAAATAAGTTTGTACTAAATGTTTCTCAGATGCATAAGGTGATCATTGGCAAAAAGCGTCTTAAGAGACTCGTTTCTCTTCCCACAACAGGAACGAGAAAATGGCGATCAAAGGACTCGAGGGAAGGGGCTGGATCGGTAAGTATCTAAGTACATCGGAAGTGAATCTTCTATAAACGCGCTATGCTTTCAGGAAGAAAAAATCTATAGTCCATAATCCTTGTGTTTTTAAACTAATTCGTTACCTTTTTTCTTGGACTACGTTCGCTGTCAAGAAGTTTATGACAAGCTATAAAAGTCAGAATGCAAACGATGATATTTTTAATTGTAGAAACCAGCGAGACCCCTGCGTGGTTTTTAATTCCTTTTGAACAGTCAAAAGAATTGATTACAGTCATCGAAATTACTCCTCTGAGTTACATTGTCAAAGAGACATGTAGTTATAGAAGCATTTTACTTGTAAAATCAAGGTTTTGCGACGTATTAACGTCTATAGCGATGTCAAAAAAGCACAATTAACAGCACCTACTGGTAGATGTACAAACAACAAAATCTCCTCTTAGTCCATGTCTTAAAAAGCAGTTAATCTTAAATGGCTAGCTAAATGCAAGATTCAAAATCCTTAAAACGTTTCTGAAACTGACATATCAGTATTTCCCCTTGTTGTTCTACTCTTGCTTACGAAGATTTAGAGGTTTAAATTCTAGCCATTGTAAATTTTTTTCGTCAATAATTTATTAGCTAAATCCATTTGTTTTGTTTTCTTTATCACTTTTACTGTTATTTTTCGCCCAATATCCGTTATTATTTGAGTACAATAATTGTCTTGTGGGAAATTAGCTTGTTCCAATGTCTCCTAAGAGAGAATATCTTACCAGTCCATGAGCTGTACTTCTCAAAAGGCAAAACAGTGAAAACTGAACTGAACATTACTGATAAGACAAATAGCTTGTGAAACTATCACTACCGTTATATAATACTCTGTTTAGCTCCCCACCCCATCCATCTCAAATAATCCTTCCTCTTATTCAGTCCCCACTTCTCTTTTAAGCTCACCTCCCTTCCCCTCCCCCAAGCAAGCCGAGTGAAGACAGTCAGCTTGCAAGGCGGCCAGCTTAATGCCACACGAAGTATTGCAGCAGGCAGAAAAAGTCTTGACCGTGCTGTGAAAAGTGTAATGTAAGGTGTAGATTCCCTAGGTGACTTTTGATGACCTTTGTTGTAAACAAACGAACCTTCAAAGTTTGGACAGTGTTCTCTGCCACACTACTGTACTTTTACGAATTACAAATCGCTATTTCAAGTTCACGCTAACCTATAAATGGTATTTCCCTTTCGCCGTTTGAAACTTGACAAGTTTAAGGTTCAAAAATGTCTAAGCAGAAGAATAAGAGCGATGTTAAGGCCAAGAGCATGGCAGAAATGTAGGAACAAGGAGTGCTTGTAGTAGAAATTCTCGGCTCAGCAGTTGAAAATGGTTTTATAAACATTGGAACTAAAACCGGTGATGTAGGCAAATTCTTTTTCTTTTGTTGGCACTTAGCGAAAGCTACAACTAGTTCTTAAGTGATGGACTGTGTCAAAACATTTATTTTAAAGACATGTACATATGACTGACATTATTAATGAGCAAGACAGCCCTGACACAGCTCCCTAAAATGAATGACTGTAACTTTGCATGTGGACTGATCGAATATTGTTTACTCAGGTGCTGGAACCTGACCTCTCACTTCATGTGCCCGAGCTTTTACAGTAAATCCATTCTAGTTTTCATAGTTTTCATGGAATCTTTGCTAATTAAATAAGCCCCCCCCCCCTTTTCCAATACCTTCGTCCCTATAAAGTCCTCACCCCTCCCCCCCCCACCCTACCTAAAACATGCTTGAAATAAATATGAATATTTAGCAATTATTGAATGAGGCTGAGTAGGATATGAAGAATTAAGCAGATCGAGGAGGGTGTTATCTTGATATCCTACGAAAGCCGCATTCATTATTTGCTTTATTATTCACTCAAAATAATTCCTAGTTTAAAAACATGGCTGAAACATGCTTACCTGCATCAATGTTAAATTCATCTTCGGTATTGTACGTTTAGGTTTGTCCAGCTCCACAAATATTCTCCAAATAGCAGATGTCACCCTCCGAGTTGTCTTCTTGCTGTTTTTGCCATGCTTTTAGCTATAATTTCACCTAGTTCCAGCTGTAGTTCTTACTCTTAAAACGAGTGAATTGTCTACCTTTTTTTTTTCACAACCAAAACAACTCAACCTTGTCCCCAGGTCTTCTCGGTAACAGTGCTTTAACCTGTACTTGGCTGCATTTTTGACGTCATTTCCTTGTTAAACACAAAATAAATTCTTCTAAGTTTGGTCATCAGTGACTGGTTATGGTGAATTATGGGTGAGCTTTTAGCCAATCAGAATTGGGGAAATACAGTATTTTGAATGAATAATAATTTTACTTAATGATCTCTAAGAATGACTGTGTTTTTATGCAATTGTTTATGTACGTATGTTAACACAATTTGCCATTATTTTAATCTTTCAGGGTTTTGGAAAGCCCAATGTTTATCATGCTACCATTGTAATCTTTCTAGAGTTTTTTGCTTGGGGGCTGCTTACATCACCTATGTTAACAGTAAGTCCAAATATTTTCGATTTTTAAACAAATTAAATCAATCATCAGTTGAAATCCTTAATCCTTATAATTGATTAGGGAAAATGTTTAACTGATTATCATGCAAAAAAATGTAAAAATTATCCGACAGTGGACTTCCACCTTTTGTAAAAGTCACCAAACTGAGGCAAACTCCTTGTTTTCATTTTTATCCAGGTTTTACACACCACATTCGAAGAACACACTTTTCTAATGAATGGTTTAATACAAGGAGTGAAGGTAAGATATTTCCTTAATTCCATTATATAACATCTATATATATCTGAAAGGTCTCCTTATTTTTCTTGCATGAAAAAGTTGTTCTTTTCTTCTTAAGACTAATAAGTTGTTGTCACTTTTTTTTTTCAGGGTCTTTTGTCCTTTCTTAGTGCACCTTTGATTGGTGCTCTCTCAGATGTGTGGGGGCGTAAATCCTTCCTTCTTGTAACTGTTTTCTTTACATGTATTCCCATTCCACTTCTTAGATTCAACCCATGGTAAGTTTATAATAATGATGTGATAACAGTAATGGTGACGATGATGTTAGTGATGATCAATGACTTAGATAAGATTTCATCATCAAGGACTATCAATAAAGATAGCACTAAGGCTATGGCCCACTTCATTTTTGTATTTCCTGGTGATATTAGTAATAGTAGTAGTAGTAATTCTTTATTTAGCTCATGGTAAAATTACAGTTTTAACTTAACATTGTACATAACTGAAAATTTGTACCAGGTTATAACTTTATAATAATATATGAGAAATAAAAAGTGTCTCTAATATATTGAATGACTGTATATTTTTTTTTCCTGCAAAAAAATAAACTGAAACTGAAATAAATAATATTATTGGGTTCTTTCTTACGTTAATTTTTTTGTCTTCTGTTCTCTACTTTCAGGTGGTTTTTTGCTATGATCTCAGTGTCTGGAATGTTTGCTGTCACATTTTCAATAGCTTTTGCTTATGTTGCTGATTGTACAGAAGAAAATGAGCGAAGTACAGCTTATGGACTGGTAAGATATTCATTTCTACACTGTATTTTTATCAGAGCAATGTGACATGACTGCCAAGCCAATAGATGTTATGCGAAAATGCAATTTCAGAAAGTTACTCTCAAATTCCTTCTTAAAGTATAAGCCATTAAAAACCCCATTGGAAACATCACACAGAACCTTCCAGGGGCACCCAATGACCAATTAAGGTTTCCAAGTATGTCAGAACTGTCTCAGATGGTTTTCTCTATGGCTGAGAAGCCTGTTTGGGTCATTTGGAGCTGCCCAGTGAGAACTGTTTATCTGTTGGGATGTCTTTTTCGTCTCATCTGAAACTGTTAGCTTCCCTGATGGGTGTGGTTGAAAGTTCAAGGACATTTAGTAGCCATATACCACAATCAGAAGTTTCTAGGGGTTGTTTTGTCCTTAAAAATTTTAAAAAGACAATAATAATATTGCAATATCTTGGTAATAAGATGTGAAAACAACCTCTGAAAATCATAGGTGAGCTGTAGAAATTTCTAGGCAATATTTACTTGTTTTGACAGTTACTGTATTTTACAGAAATAGCCAGTCAGTGCCCCTCCTTTGAAATTCACAAATCTCAGGGCTTCTGACATTACACAATGGGCAAAGAACACAAGAATGTACATGTACATGTTACAGGTCAAAGGAAAAAATTTAACCTAGATTGATTCTCCATTTCCTTGGTCTCCTAGCCCTAATTATAGCTGTAGTTAAACAATAAATTAAATTCATGATAAAATAATAATTGTTATTATTTTAACGTGAATTTAATTTTGACCTTTGTTTGCTTTTTGTTAATAATATTCAATTCAATACAATGTAATTTTATTTCATCAGATTTAATAATTATTTTTACCAAGAAATAGTTTCTTTGGTGAAAGAACATAAGAATATACATGTACATGTTACAGGTCAAAAAAAAAATTTAACCTAGATTAATTCTCCATTTCCTTTGTCTCCTGGCCCTAATTACAGCTGTAGTTAAACAATTATTATTTTAACATGAATTTAATTTTGACCTTTGTTTGCTTTTTGTTAATAATATACAATACAGTGTAATTTTATTTCATCAAATTTAATATTTTTACCAAGAAAAAGTTTCTTTGGTGATTATTTTAACACTTGGGTATGTTGGATTTTTAGGTTTCTGCTACATTTGCTGCAAGTCTAATTATTAGCCCAGCCTTGGGTGCTTACATAGGAAAAATATATGATGACAGTGCCGTTGTAGCGTTAGCAACATTTGTGGCTGCCTCAGATCTCTTATTCATCTTAATTGCTGTTCCCGAGTCCCTTCCGGAGCGAATTCGTCCAGCGTCATGGGGGGCACCAATCTCCTGGGAGCAGGCAGATCCATTCGCTGTAAGTTGACATAGAAATAGCCTGAGAAAACAACTGACATTTGGCGACGCTACCGCTGGTTTCCCCACCAAGTGACGTTTGATAAACGAGCACAGAAATTCCATACTGGTAAGGCATCATTACCCAGATCTGGGTAGTGATGCGTCCTCAGTATCGAATTTCTGCGCTCATTTCTCAGACGTCATTTGGCGGGGAAACCAGTGGTAGCATCACCAAATGTTTGCTGTTTGCTCAGGCTAACATACAAATTATTATCTAAAAAAATAATTATTACAACAATGCCATTTGCCAACATCTTGTGATGCCACCTCTAGTTTCCCTGTGAATTAACATGTGAGGAGCAAGCGCAGACATTTCATACTGTTGACGTCTCACTGTCCTGATCTGGGTAGCAGTAGTGGTTCTGATTCGAAGAAGCAACTTTTCCTTGTGGCACAACCAATCAGAGGTACTATCCAGACCTGGATAGTGACACATAATCAGTGTGGAATTTGAATTTTTTCGCTTCCTTGGACATTATTTTGTAGGAAAGAAAGTGGTGGCGTCACAAAATGGTGGCTGTTTTATCAGGCTACTTTTCTTAGCAGTAACAATAATATAATAACATTATGACTGGACTGAAGGCAAATTAATTTTACTTGGTGGGATAAGTACATTTGGGGTAGAATCTCATTCAGTTTAGAAAAAAGTGATCTTAACACAACAGAAATTTTCAAGCTTGTTGGGCTACTGTTATGTTGTTTTGTGTAAACCTACCCTCTCATAGATTAAATAATTTATGCAGTGTATGTAACTTGCCAAATCAGTATCACTCTCCATACAGAGTAAAATTAATACAGATCAAAATCAACAGCAAACAAGATTGATAAAAATTTTTAAAAAAGCTTTACTGAATTTATAATATTGCTCTGACATCAGTGTTTATTTTTACAATTTCATTCCCAGTCTTTACGCAAAGTTGGCCAAGATCCTATAGTCCTTCTTATGTGCATGACAGTGTTTTTATCGTATTTACCTGAAGCTGGCCAATATTCCTGTATGTTTCTCTATCTTAAACAGGTAAGTGTTCTAAATAATTTGTTATATCTATATTTTTTTAAATTCTGTGTTATTAAAAAAGACCGAAATACAACCTGTGTACTTGTTTGAATTGAAATCTATAACCAATTAAAATTTACCAGGCATCAATCTGCATTATCTCAACAAATTAAGACAATGTTAATAACAGAGAAGTTCTTTCTTTCCTATGAAATAGCAGTGTTAATGTACATGTACCTTAAGAGTGTGCTAAGATTTTTAGATGCTTTTACTTTGATTTTTGTTTTTCATGACAACGTCCATTGTTTTTTTCATTTTGTTTTGCAGGTTATACATTTTACTTCAGAAGATGTAGCAACCTTTATAGCAGTATTAGGAGTTTTATCAGTAGTATCTCAGGTAAATAATTATCAATTAGTCCACGAGTGCGCGTTGGACATGAGATGGTAGATAGCCAACGAGTGCAAGTGGAATAATTGTTTTTTTAAAATGCCCACAAAATATCGAGAATTCTTCCCAACTTCATTTGTAAAAACAACAGATTTTCAGCATGTTTTAATTTTGAGCAGACATGTACAGTTATCATACTTGGAGAGCTTGGTATAATGGCTCATATACCATGATGGCTAAGCCAATCAGAGCTCTAGAATTTCCTATCCAATGATTCCGTTTTTAATAGAAAAACAATTATTTTACAACAGATCAAGATCGGTGACTTGAGATCACTTGGATAATAGCACATCAGAGGAACTGACAATTCCACCCTGGGTTTTTAGGATTCAATGGTTCATTATTGATATACCATGATCCAGGAGACACAGCATCACTGACTCTGATCTGAGTTATCCCTAATGAATGCACCCTTAGTTTTTGTTATGTACACTGTAGACATGTCTCATCCTGCATTTGTCTTTTTTCTTCTTTTAGACTGTAGTTCTTACTTGTCTCAAGAAAACTATAGGTTTGAAGAACTGCGTTTTAATTGGATTAATATTTGAAATTCTTCAGTTGTCCTGGTATGGTCTAGGAACACAATTCTGGTAAGTTAAGCAACAATCATTTTGGTTTTTTTTATTATTATGATCGTGTATGTATTGATTGTGTTTTTGTAATTATTATTATATGTAATTAAGTAAAGATATTGTATCTTTTTTCAAAACTGATGCCATACCACACCCCTGACTGCCCATAAAGACTGCCTACCTCCATCCTTTAAAGAGATGTGTTAGAATTGGAACAGTGGAATTTTATCAAAATTCTAACAGTGGAAATTGCCACCAAATTGATTGAAACATCAAAAATAATATTCTCACAAAACATTAAAAATGATAAGCTACTAATAACCCCAGCAAATACAAGATTGGGCCAGGACAGAAAACCTGAAGAAGATCAAAATGGATTGAAATTGTTTGTTTTTTTTTTCTGAAAACTTGTTAGGCTAACAGTTTTTCATTGTTCATTTTTATGCTTGAGAAATATATTTGTTGGACAAGAGGCCATAATTTTGCCGTTTTCAAGTATTTTCTTCGTTAATGTTAAGTTCCATAGGGCATGAGGAAGCGTAATTGGCAATGTTAGTGAACTTATGCAACAGGATGAGAGTAAACCTAGTGTGACAAGCGTGACAATGATTTTGTTTGAAAAAGCCTTCCACCAAACTTCGCATTCCTAAGAACAGATCTTTTTGTAGAAGAGCAAAGAACATCAGTGTTAAGAAAATTCCCAACAAACTTGTAACGCGAGTAATAACCCCGTCACATTTGTCACACACAGAAATTTTGCCATCTTCTTCCTTCTGCCATCCTGTTGCGTAAACTCACTATTAACAAAATGACCTCGACAGCCGTGACACAAGCTATAGTGGAAAGGTTTTATTGTAGCCAGTGAAGTCTAGTATACAACCCATGGTCTTATGTTTTGTTTGTGATGATAGGATGATGTGGGCAGCTGGATCCTTAGCATCTGTCTCCATGATAACTTACCCAGCCATCAGTGCTTTGGTGTCATGTAATGCTGAAGCAGACCAACAAGGTTCGTAATGATTTTGATTGTTTATCATGAAGAAAAATATTGATCATAGCATAAACGTACAAAATTCTTTGATCTGGTTGGCTGTCATCAGCCCTGTTTTTAGCATACAATGTAAACAGACAGAACATGCAATTTTGTGCACACTCCTGAATAGGTTTTTTTTTGTTTTGTTTTTGTCTTTTTTATATATTTATTTCATTTTTTTTTTCATGTCTAAAAAAAGTCTACTTTATTTCACTATCGACATGTGCATTACACCTGATAAAATTTTGTAACTAAAGTAGAGTAATTTATGTTAGGTTGAACTTAATTCATCTGTGCAGCTATTTTGTAGGCTTGTCCCTCCCCCCACGCCCACTTCTCACCCAAAAAAATGTCACTTTTAGTAAAACACGGCATGGATGTTGGCATGCCAATCTGGAAAGTATATTGGGTGTAACACAGTGTGACTCAGTGTGAAAAATCCTAACTACAATGTACTCCCCTGACTAACATATTTTTTTTATGTGTAATTGTTAGGCGTGGTCCAGGGCATGATAACTGGAATTAGAGGACTGTGTAATGGCATTGGACCTGCTTTATTTGGACTGGTATTTTATGTGTTTCATGTGGATTTAGAAGATGATGATCTGAAGGGTATGACTGTCACGGTATCAACCAATCAGACCGCTATGGAGGATCCCTATGGAGAGGTACTGAGAATAATGTAATT